TTACAGACCACTCTTTCCCCATGTAAGTCAATGGGAAAAAGTGTTTCCGGGCCTGGCAACCAAACGGAAGTGTAGTACCGCCGTTTGGCCAGCACGAATATTTTCATCTGAGTCCGGCGCACTTCCTGGGGTATTGGTTGAGACCGGTTGTCACTGTCACTACCCGATCCGTCCCCCTGCCCGATCGGTACTGCGCATGTGCGAGATGGTCCGCCATATTGGACAAGTCCGGACGGCAACCCAAGATGGACACTTGACACAGTGGCTTTTAGCAAAGCTCAAAAAGAAAAACCGAGAGAGATGAGTTATTGTTATTACAACGTGACTTCACTATTATTTAACAACTCTTTTTATTGGGTTCTTTTATTTGGGGTTAAGTACATTGTCAGAATAAGTGAGGAATTAATTTAACTTCTGTTATACAGCCATATGCCATACATTTTTGCATACATTCACAGTAAATATTTATTCAGTATGATAGCTGTCTAACAGAAGTTAAATCCATTTCTCACTTATTCTGACAATGTACTTAACCCCACATGTGGTATTGGGCTTTGGGAAGCAATGATCAAAGTGTTTCACTAAAAAGCAAATCAATAATTGAGAAAATAATATAGATTCATTATTAATGTAATAATGGTAGGTTGCAGCCCTCAACTATACTTCCTGTGTCTTATTAGGCCTCATTGGACTCACCTACAGATCAAAAGAGAACAGGCAGGTATTTTTAAAGTAACTCTAAATCTGCTGTGCTAAGAAGCATTCGATAAAGGTGCCAGTGAGTCAAGACCATGGTCAAGACTGAACAAAGCCTTCTTATCTGCAGAAGTCCTCGGAATGGGATTTACAGGCGATCAGAAAGAAATAAGGAGGGATGAGATGCGATGGAAATAATCGCCTCGGAATGGTTTACAGCCCAGGAAAAGGCTCCCTGGGCTCTGCTGAAACTGAGAGATTGATACTCTGAGGATTCACAGCCGATGCTGTAAATATATGAGCCCAACTGAGAGTCTGCAAGCTGTATCTGTCATGCCATCAAGAGCCGTATGAATGTATGCCATTTTCATATGCTTCCCTATCACTGAGATAAAGTATGAAAGTCATGCCCAACTCCATGATTCGGTGATCGCAGTATCACATCTCATTATACTAAAGATTGATTTATTCCCATGGCTTCCTACACTGTGTGTGTCTTTCAAGCTTGGTACATAAATCATGGGAGGGATAATAAACCTGGAGTAAAATGGTCTCATATTATAGTGCTTACACAGATACAGCGCAGACACACTTCTCCTTGTGTTCTTTTATTGCCTTTTGTCGTCACAGCGGTGTAGGTATAATGGAGTGAGGCTCACTGAGTCGTGGGAAAGCATGCTGCTCCCAAACAGCATATGGTGGCTCTGTTACAGTACTTGTAAGTGGTCTATCTTGAGATGAAGTGTTTGAAGCGTTACCACTTCCCTACTTACTTTAACAGGTAAGACATGGATCCCCCTGTATATCAGTGGTGAAACGTGAAAACCCCTGATTATTATATCTACAGTGTTCCTAAAAACAACATATCAAATATTCTAGCTGCACACTGCTAAAAACTCCCAAAAAAGTGTCCCCATCTGTTTCCCTGAAAGACTGCCACTAACAAACTAAAATGAGAGGCTGCCCCGCTGTGCCTGCTCAGCACAGTCCAGGTGGTGCATATATCCTCACAGCAATGTATGTGTCTCTCTCTTTCTGCAAACAATGTATACACCTTCAGCACTAAGAATACGAACAAGAGTGGTCTTTGAAGAGACGCAGAGACAAGAAAAGACAAACAAACCATCAGTCTCGCTGTCCTGCCTCTCTGTCACACACTGCCTGCACTCCCAGAACAAACAACACTGCTTAAAACACCAGGCCTCATCTCCACGGCTGAGCTCCTCTGGCTTCACGGAGCTGCATCCTGTCAAGCGTAAAAAAGATGAACCCTGGCTCCTATGCTACAACTTCTCAAAGTAGTTACAGTGTTGTTAAATCCTTTAGGTCAGGAGTGTAATGCTCGAGTCAATTTGTCGTCCAGTTAAATTGATGTAGACTACTTTTGGAGTGTCCGAAAAAAAGGACACTTCATGTCTCCAGATTTCATTAACATCAAATGTGAAGCAAGGCAGTTTTGGCAAAGTTTGAACTATTTAGGTTTAAATACAGCACATCCATGATTCATATCAGCCGGACTCAAAGTGTATGACTATAGGAATCTAATGAGTGTGTGCAGCTTCTACCAATCTTCTAATAATGACTCCCATGAGAAGCTTCTTTTCTCTCATCATTCACTCTGTCCAGTGAGGAATGACCATGTCTGAGGCTTAAAGACTCACTTTTTTATAAAATGCCACAACCATCACCTAACCATTCTAGTCAATCACACAATTCAACTTTTTACACCCTGAAATGGATTGTAATTTTGGACAAAGACCGACTTTACATGGTTAATAAATAACAATCTAAATGTTTTCAGCTGAGCAAAACAGGGGCATTTTTGGGTTATGACAGCCAGCCAAGAAATTAAAACAAAACTATCTCCAACTTTTTTCCACAGAGTGCCTCCAGCATTTAAATATTGACTTAACTTCTTGCTAATAAGCCTGAGGTCTTTCTTCAGTTTATATAATGGTATTTGTCCTGAGAAGCACATGACTCCTAATCATCGCAATACAGATCCCAATACAAAATAAGTTGTAGAACTTTCTGCAAAACTTTCTTTTTGCAGGCCAGTGCATCTCTCAGTGTGAACAGATTTGGTAATGACCATCAGTTGTCAAAGTTGCCTGTCCCTTTTTCTAAGTAGAGCCTAAAGTGGTCTTATGACAGTCACAGGAGGGACGATATAGTTTTGTTTACCATCTGAGTGCACACCAATGGAGGCGTCTCAGCGGGGGGCATTCTGCTTTCCAGGCTGGAAGCACTTGCTACAGTAAACATCCTCTCTTCTGCTTCACCCTGGGATGAGCAGACACACAAATCCCTGTGTCCATGCGATGGGGCGAGTCGAGAAAAAGGGTAGTGACGTACATTCTTTTTTTTGCAGACCAATATGATGAGAAGAAATAGAGCAAAGAAGAGAATAGAGCGACTAAAGAGAAGTGCGTTCAGACATTAGGTTCAAGGGCTAATATTCAGAGTTTCCTTCCAGCAGGTGGCCTACTCAGGGACTTTTATCAAGCACCATTTTTAACCAATAATATTCCAGACCTAGAGGAATCAATCTCGTCCTGTGGCCACTTCAAAGAGGTCAAGTTTTGAATATACTGTAATACCTACTTTTTACATTCATTAATGACCAACAAATATAAAGTTATATGGAGGCCTAAGTCGTTGATGTTTAAAATAAGCTCTTTCAATTGCACACGCTGAGCCTTTAAGATCCATAACACCATGCCTCCTTACTTTTATCAGATAAAAACAGCAGCTTCTTCTTTGTTAATACCTTTCCCTTACAGCTTTTTATTAAACTGCACTCTCTCCAGTACACATTATTAATGTATCACTAACCTGTGGTAAATAAAAAAGTAACTGTCATGAATATCAACCTTTTACATTATAAATCTCACTCATTTATCCCTATGTGTGTTTTTGTGCACATACTTCCCTACAACTTCCCTACTTGATGCAACAGAGCAGTCATCACTCAGGAAGCCAATACTGGTTGAGTGTCGTCTGAGGCCAGAAGGGAACCCGGAAGCCCTGGCTCACAACAGCCATAAGCGACTGCAACAGAAAGAAAGCCTTCTGTGTGTACGTGCTATCCACTTGTTGATCTATTCTCTGGTTATATCTCATTATATTTTGTCAAGTGATGTTGCAACTCCTATGACATGCATTTAAAAGTGTATGCAAGTATAAGACAGGAATGATTAAGTCCCTGCACTCCACATGACAGACGGGGAATGCAGACAAACCTCATGAAGTGCTGGATTGTAGGGCAGGTGAGTCAAGAGGAGACTTTGCAGCCGGTGTGTAATCAGTAACTACATTGCATGCACACACACAACTACCACTATAGGTCAACAATAGTAAAATGTAGAAACTAAGAGGCAAAGTGGCGACACAACCCCTTTGTCTGTTTACTGCACGGAAATGGGACATGCCCTTTGACCCACAGTCAATCACCCGACGTGTTCTATTAAACATTTGTGTTACCAATATAGTCTGTGATATGTATACTACTTACAAATCCTACAAAACCCTCTTGACATATTCCCATTGTGCTGTTGGGCTGGCTCCACAGGACACAGGATTTGTCTGTCTTTGAGTGAAATAAACAGTTTGGGTATTATCTGGGGGGGTTCCATGTGGGAAGAATGCATATACGTAATCCTACCTGAAGATAATGACATCTCTTTATTGCTGGGGTAGCTCTCAGTGGGGCCCTGGGACACAAATATCCGGACTATCTTCATTCATTCTTCATTCTCTGTATGACTTCTCCAAGTAGCCTACTCATGAGTGCACTACACAGAGCAGACAACTCAAGTCAATTGAATTATATTTTGCCCAGAAAACCATCAGCACTCCTTAGCTGTGAAACTGGCTGCAGGTTTGCTGCGTGTCAATTCGTTTGTGATGATTTGATTTAAAATGCCTTAAGGCCCTTTGATGTTGGTTTTATTGTGCTGTATAGGGCACATTCACAGACAAATGTGCTGTTAATAAAATAATCACAAAGCAATTGAAACACAGTGGTTTAACTTGGGGGCCCATGAATGCATGCTTTGGTCAGAGAGAAAGGTGGCTATTATTCACTTTGTTGAAAACATTGCAGCTATATTTCCAATTGTAAATAGGCTATGTTAGAAAGAGATAAGTTGTCTATGAACTATTTCCTCAATGGCATACGGGAATCAAGCATTCTTTCCACTGAGATGATTGGAATTAAGACACAACTAAGACACTACTAATAACAACACAAAGCAGTAACATCAGCAGCATACTATATCACCCAGTGCATTCCCCGTCCTCACCTTGAACTCCACTGACAGCTGAGGTGTGTACTCCAGGGTCCACAAGCCTCGGACCAGCGTCGCCAGCTGCTCGGTCACCTCTCCCCTGGCGGGAAGCAGCTCCTCGCCCCTCTCGTCCCCGTTCACCCTCCTCTGGTACAAATCCGACTTGTACTGCTCCAGCCCGAGGTACTCGGCCAGCAGGTCCGTGTTGTTGAGGCACTGAACCACGGCGTTCATGAAACAGGTGTTTCCATGGTTCTTCAGCCCCAGCACACCGGGGGTCTTGTCGCCGAAGCACCACGACAGCCTGTCTTTCACCGAGCCGTGAGTGGAGGAGGACACCGTGGAACTCTTCTTCACGGTTCCCTCCCTGGAGGTCTGCCCACTGTCGTCTCTGAAACCCCCAGAAGCGGTTCGCCCGAACCCGCCGTCGTCGTCCTCCGCGTCCGGCGTTTCCGCGTCGCCAAAGTGCGCAAAAGTGCCCAAAGTTTTAAGAATCCTTCCCATGAAATTCCCAAAAGATCGCAGCGATTTCCTCCTAGCAAATCTTCCGGTTTTATATTTCTTCTCCTTTCGCTTTGTCGTCTTGGGTTTTATAGCTTTTCTTACCTTGTTTTCCTTGCGGGTATCCATGGCTCTAGTGCTTAGAAGGACAGAGAATGAAACAGATTGTGGAGTCGCACCTGTCTGCAAGCCGGTCTGTCTACCCCTCCTCCTCTTCCTCTTCTCTCCTCAAACCTTACCGCTGAGGTGGCTCACACTCGGTGCCCATAAAGCACATGGTCACTGATATTAATCCCCTGACAACCCGGTAATTCCAAATACGAGGTGTTCATCAGCCTGCGCGTGTTTGTAGGTGACGCTCTCTCTCCAGGAACAACAGAGATGAGACTTGTTCCTCCCTGCACTCAGCAGGTTCTCACACACTTCCTCATCTCAGCGCAGGATCGTACGCTGGCAGTCTTGGACTCTCTCTCCCCACCACTATTCCTCCCTCCCTCCTGTCCTGTCAATGGGGTTTAACAATGAACATGTTTCTATTTGGAGAATCACGTCTAATGCCCGCCCCTTAAAATGTCCTGAAATACACTTATCAATAGAAAATGTTCAAACAATGAGCAGGAAATCATTTTTCGTACAGCTTCACATTGTTCCTGGAATGGCAAAAAGTATAAAACTCAACATGTCTTGATTGTTGCACAAGGAACAAGGAAGTTGATTTATTGAATTATGATGTTATGCACTGTAGCCTTAAACTGCCCCCTGTAGGAGCAATTACAACATCACCTGGTTTAACCTCTTCAGAGGGTTTGAAGAAATCTTTGACATTAGTTGAATGGAATGCACTAAAGGTGCCCCTATAAGCACAGACATGTAAATAACACTCAGTTCTTAATAAGAACAAGAGCCACAGATTCATAGAGATATATTTGTAGTTTTTTGGTCACTTGTGTGTCTTTGTAGACTTTGTTGTCTGTTCTTGTATGTATTTGGGTAATTCTACAGATCTTTGTGGCAGTTTTGCATCTACAGTATTGTGGTTGTTTTGTGTCTCTTTGTGGTTCTTTTTGGTCTGTTTTGTGTGTCCTTGTGGTTGCTTTGTCTCTTGCTGTGGTCATTGTATGTCTCTGTGGTAGTTTTGCATGTCTTTGTGGTCATTTTAAAGGTCCCATGTCATGGCCATTTCTACTGATCATAATTCCATTGTTGAGGTCTACTAGAATAGATTTACATTGTTCAATGTTCCAACATCACATTGGTTTCTCATACAGCATCTCTGTATAGTATGTGTATTCACTCTCTGTCCTAAACGGCTTGTTGGAACTCCTGGTTGTTTCCTGGTTGCTGCGTGGGGTCTGCGAGACAGCGAGACAGTACGTGGCGAACTGTGAGTGGAGATCAGCGGAGCCGCGGCTGAGAAAAGACAAGGCTGAGTGAGTGAGTGAGTGTGTGTGTGTGAGGAGCTCCGCGGATTGGTCCATTTGGACCTGGTTATCGTTACGTCACTATACTCAGGAAGAAAAAAATGGAAAAAGAAAAATCTCCAACGAGGCGTTCTGGGGCAGCATAGACAGGTCTTTTCTGTGTTAGTTATACTCGCTACAGGGTGTACTGTGAGGGTTTGTGACTTTGCAGAGACTCTGGCACATAATCAGTAACTGCACAAGGCTGTTGTTTACATTAATCTTACGCTTCAACCAGACCATATGTTAAACCTCTAGCCTACAACAAAGACATATCAGCTACTGAAATCCTTATGGTAGTGCATTATCATCACTTGATAGATACTAATAGTCGGCACTCATTCAAATACAGTGAGATCTCACAATGTAGAAATTGAAGGGTATGTTTATATATCTGATTGTAAAATACTGTTAAAAAATGTTATTTCCTTGCTTGACCCTGTCTTTGAGATGCGTTGTATACAACAGACCAACATTCACAGACACATCTAAAGCATCCTATAAATAGCCTGGCTGCTGCCTCTACACACATCCATGCTGCTGCTGCTGTTCCCCCTGGAAGCTCCACAAAGTAAAAAAAAAAAGCTTTCTCTTCATGCACCCGTGGCATGGAATTAGTTTCAAATTATCATTACCTTTCTTATATGTGAACATCTTTAAATGTCTCCTCAAACTGCCCAAAGGAAACATGTAACTGTTTAACATAAGCCTTGACTCAGGTGGAAAGTGGATATTGACTGAAGTTTTCTCTTCTTTTACTCGTATTTCAAAAGAACTGTCCTGACTAAATCTAAGTAGCCTAAATAATGATTGAAAAATAGGTCATAGTAAAATAAAGTACCACTCGGCCAGAAACAATCAGCCCTGGTTTTTAACGGGGATTTTTGTGCTATATTCAGATTCTAATCACCCTGAAGCTTAATTTCACAGCTCAGCAGTACTAAAGATTGAAAATAGTGGGCCAGATGTGCAGATTTATTGAAATAGATAGTCTGGGCCCCATCCAATATCTCCATAATTTTCCCCAATGCCATTATTCCAGCAATGGAAGAAAAAGGCTCATATAGTACACCATAGTAACAAATAAACTAATTATGTGTCAAACTCATAGACTGTAGCCTATATATAAAGGTCAAACTGCATCTTCCTTACAGAAAAGGACACACACGTGTCCTCTATTCATTGCTAACAGGGATTTCTTTACTGACTATACTGCAGGTTTGCCATTTGACTTTTTTTAGGGAAGCAGGGGTGAGTTATTCATTATTTAGATGATCCATTTTAAACAATGGTGAGTAGAGTGGGTTCAGATCTACCTCATTCACACCAACGCAACTCCGGTTCAAGCTCCGTGCTAGAGCTTTTTAGGTTCAGAACCGGTTCTTCGGTTTAGCTCCGGCTCTTTTCACACTGCCCAGAGTCCGACTGGTGTGCGTCATTGCGTCATCGTTTGCGTCATGACGTAACCGTTTGCGTGCCTGCTTCATAAAGCCAAACCGCGCGGAAACCCCTCACAGCGGACACCGACAACAACAACAATGGCTGATTGTGCTCCAGCTTCCTCTGTACCTCTTCGGAAGACCAGATTCCCAGTAGGTAGCTGGTCTCTTCAGTGGACCACTGCTGCTTGTTAAGTTTCTCCATCGTTGTGTACAAACTGGATAAAACGCCGACTTTTTGTTGTTGTTCAGGAGTTGATCTCGCCCCTGCCCCCGCCTCGACGTAAGCGTGACGTATGTGGTGCTTTTTTGGTGCTTGAAACGAACCAGATTCTGGAGCTAAGAGGCTGCTCCGCTGCGGTGTGAACAGGAAAACCCGGTGCTTTTCAAGCTCCAGCTCCGAACCGGCCCTGAAACACCGTTGGTGTGAATGAGGTATAGAGAGGCTTTCTGTTGTCTTAACCAGAATCCTTCAGGGATCACTGTTGATAGATAAGCTGACATCAGCTCTGTGCTTAGCCAACAATCTCAGCCTCCTCCTTTTCTCTACAGAAACAGACTAAAGAACCATAACTATAAGTAAATGCAATGTGCTGTGTTGTACATTCTTGTTTTTACATATTCTGGTGTCATCATTGACAGTCTGTAGAATGGCATTCATTCTGTTGTTCTTAATAAGCTAAAGAAGCATAATACAGACACTTGATGTGAAGAATAAGTTATTGTGCCTTGAAGTGTAATTGTAAATACAAGTAAAGTGTCGCTCTGTGAATTCCAACCCATATTCGGCTCCTGCTGGGAATGACCATTTAAGAGACCAGACTGCTCAGAAAGTGTAATGTTTTCACTTCTTTAAATATCATCCTTTCTCTACTCTAAGATAAAATAAGAGTCACTGATGCTAAATCAAATTACCTTTATTTCCTTTGGTCTGGGTTTAAACCTTTTCTGCAATGTTAATGTCAGAACTCTCATAGAAATATTTGCTAAGAGGAACAATAATGGGAAAATGTCGGATCATATGAGTACGAGTGTTCCTGGAATAAAAGTAGAACGCGTAGTTTCCAGGACTCCACATGTCACATTAAGAGGAAGCAGGGTGAGGGAACCTCCATCTCAGAATGGCTCCGTCTGCGCTGGTGCTGACCAGGGTGCGGTTGTTGGAGCAGACCTTGATGCTGGTGATGCTGCCACTGTGAGCTATTCCTACATGGGTTACCGTACCTTCCAAGTAGTCCCACACCTTCACCAGCTTGTCATCTCCACCTGACATGAGAAGATGAAAAATATGTCAATAACCTGAGAGAAGTTTCAGCAGAGTAGTGTCAGTACAGGAGATGTAGACAAAGACTTCAAAAAGTGAGCACAAACTCTCATTAGTATTTGCAAGTAAATCAAACATATGGAAAATGAACACAGGAATACCAGGGTCAATACAAATCTAAACACTTAGTTATACTGTTTTTAACTAAAAGACACCATCTGAAATTACACAAAGCTGATCATGCTTTTATCTGAAAATGTTCAGCAATCAACAAGTGTAAAATTATAATCATCTAAATATTTAGTGCCCATTAACTCGTTTTGTAGATTTACACTATTTCTTATAACTGGTTGAATTATATTGAAAAGAAAATCACTAAATGGCGTGCAGCAAACACAATTTAACAGTCAGCTGACGTGTAATGGGACATTATTTTTAATGCTATTTTATTTCTATTTCTGAAATATTTTGGACTGTTTAGTTCTTGTGTCTTAATTTCTCTTATGTACATTGCCTTGTGTTTTTTATGTTGCTGCAACGCAAACATTTCCCAAATTGGGATCAATAAAGTACCTATCTATCTATCTATATATCTATCTATCTATGTATCTATCTATCTATCTATCTATCTATGTATCTATCTTTCTTTCTATCTATCTTACTAACCATCCATCCATCCATCCATCCATCCATCCATCCATCCATCCATCTATCTATCTATCTTTCTTTCTAACTAACCATCCATCTATCTATCTATCTATCTACGTATCTATCTTTCTTTCTATCTATCTATCTATCTATCTATCTACGTATCTATCTTTCTTTCTATCTATCTTACTAACCATCCATCCATCCGTCCGTCCGTCCGTCCGTCCGTCCGTCCGTCCGTCCGTCCGTCCGTCCGTCCGTCCATCCATCCATCCATCCATCCATCCATCTGTCTGTCTATCTATCTATACCTGTCAC